GTTAAGAAAACTTGTTGTGATTTACTTCACGAATTCCAAAGTCTTTTTAAAATTCATTACCAACAACATTTAATGAATCATCCAAACCAGAATAATATATGCTATATGAATATCATAGTTCTCTTACTGATGGGCATGTGAAGTTAGAATTGGATCACTATTTAGGTAAAAACGTTTTGTCATTCACTAGAATTTTTGATATTTTCAGCAAGTGGAAGATAAATGGGATAAAGTATCCCACTTTGCAAATGATTGCCTGAGACTTTCTTGCAATTTCTATTTTTACAATTGCATTAAAGTTAGCCTATAGCACTGGTGGGAGAATGGCAACTACATATCAAAGTAGGCTTAATCTATACACTTTAGATGTATTAATGTGCACCTAAAATTGATTGAGGAATGAAACAAGAGATAAATAAACTCATTATATTTTTATTTTATTTGTTTTATATAAAAAAATTATCTATTATCTTAAGTTACATACATCTTTATCTCTTTTATTTGCATAGAATCAGCAATAACAATTGAAAATTCAATTGCCATGCTTGTTGATACTAACAACAAAGAAGATGATTGAATTTTTCATGAGATGTTGCCTTATTGTAAACTCGTAATATTGATTAAGTTGTTGTGTGGATATGTTGATTAAGTTGTTGTTTGAATATGTTATTTAAGTTATTGTTTGGATATGTTGTTTAAGTTGTTGTTTGGATATTTGGTTTTTGCTATTTAAATTTAAATTTTATTGTTTGTGTATTTTTATAAATTTAATTATTAATAAATTATATAGAATAATGTATAAGAAATATTATAGTAAACGGATACAGGTACAAATTTCGGTTCGGGTAATTAGGTACCCATGAAGAGTATTTTAATTTTTTTTATATAATCAAATTTTTAAACGCGTTCGAGTAATTATCGAGTAGTAGGTATGCATTAGAGTTCGAGTTAGGGTAGTAATTTTAAAAAATATTTCAGTAGTTAATAGTATTTGGGTATCTCATTTATTAATAGAGCTCGGGTTCAAGTATCTCAAAATTAGCAAAGACCTTACCCATTAACAACCTTATATGTGGCAAAATTTTTACTCATGTGTGGTGAGTCTCCCAAACACATGATACGCATTCTTGCATGACGAGTCCTACACATGCATTATGATCCCAATTCATATTGATGAAATCCATACATGGTAATGCACACAAAATTGAAGAGAGCCCCACATACACAAAGTGATCTATATTCTTACATGGTGAGCCCCACGCACATATGAGAATCTTAATTCATATATAACTAAATCCCTACATGATAATTCATGTATACATGAAGAAGCTTTTTGTAACGAGCTTGGAATTTTAGCCAAGATCTCTATGACACTTAACCCTCATGTGCGTGAAGACTAAGCAAGCTTAACTATAAAAGTAATGTTGAAGCGTAAGACAATTAAAGAAAGGAATAAGAGAAACAATAATTGTATTATTTCTCATATATAAACAAAATACCGAAGACTTATGCTAATTGCTTGGTAGCTTTCTAGCTAACTTGTTTGGCAACTTGGTGCCTTACAATGACTCTTAAAGAGGTTATTTATGATGATAAATAACCTACTAAACCTAAAAAAAATATGACAAAACATAAATAAGGAATTGCCTAAGTCTAATCCTGCTTGTAGTATAAGTAATGTAAATAACAAGTAAAGAAAATATAAATAAAGAAGTATCTTATTTTTCACAGAATATTAATTTAGTCTCTATTATTCTTAGCAACTGATAGATCTCCCTCATATGAACAGTCTTCTTGTATGTGGGTTGTTGATGTGTAGTTTCTATCTATGTAGTCCTCATGCATGTTTCTTTCTTACGCAAGTCTTTCAAGCACAACATGTGTATGATTTGGTGATGTGTAGCCCACTAATGCATGGCCTTCTATCATGCTGTTCACTAGTGTGTGGTTTTCCCGTGTGAAGCCTTGTGATGCGGGTGACCCTTTGGAGTGCAACTTATATGCGGGCAACCTTATGGTGTGCTTTTTGTATTTGTGTGGCCTTCAAATGAGAGGCTCCCTTGTGTGCGGAACACATGCACAGGTTCCACAAGTACATTGCCCATATGCGCACTTACCTCATGTGCAGTGCCCATGTGTGTGGTTTCTGTGTGCGTCCCATGTGCATGTAGTCTTGGTAGGCCAAGCTTGCTATCCCACACTACTCCAAATTTGTTCGTCTATTTGCGCCTTGCTTGTACAACCTAGTGTTGCTGGCATATTATGCATCCATAAACCCCTAATTAATGCTGGTTTGATGACGGTTGATGTTGAGTTTGCTGCCAAATCACCTTATAGTTAATGTATCTCTTATGCTGCTGTACATCACGTCCTTGTATTGTTGGCTCGATGATCCAATTGAGCTGGATTGGTCACGGATTTACGAACCATGACACCTTGCACATACATGGTGATCATTTTCCATACATGGTGGGATCTTTACTCTGGCATAGCGAGCTCATACACACATAGTGAAATCTCCTACGCATGCATAATTGCTTAAGAAATTGATCACACTTTACATGAAACTTTTACATAAAACTTAAAGGTAACTAGTTGCGAATTGTAACCAATGGCATGAAAACACAAATTTTCTTTTACACTCTATAAGCAACATAGGTATAATCCTTTGCTCTTGCAAGTCTAGAATTTAACTAGATTTGGGATTGTGCCATTGCAAGTAAGATTTAGAGTCACCACTTGAGCTTCCTTGGATCTTTGTTCATAATATTGAGATAGCATGGGACTTGGTCGAATTGTCTAGGAAAAAGGTTTGATTTAGGTTTGCCTAGTTCATATGGAGTTGTTTAAGCTTAACTAGGCAATTGGACTTGGGCTCATTTGGACTTTTGAACTTGTTATAGGATTAATTGGGCTTCTACACTCTTTTTAGGCTCACTTTGGCGTCTAGACTCCTTCTAGGCACTTCTTTAAGGTTTGTTTGGACTACTTAGCCCACCTTGAAATTTCAAATGTTCTTAAGAAGAAAGCACTTAGATGTAAAATATATGTGTAAAATGGGCAGGGTATCTGCTTTTTTTGAGATACTCGATCCTGAATCTATTTAATTAAGAATGCATATGTGCCCTATTAAAACTCAAATTAAATTGCCAAAATAGTATTCAAAATCGACCTCTAATAATTTGAATCTATTAAATGCTCAATTAAATAACTCAAACAACAACTTAAACAACTAAAAATCATACAAAAATTTTAAAGGCATAACGCTTAAATAGGCTCCTAAACTATTTAAAAATTTTCAAATAAGCTTTTATTTTTTATTACGTTTAATCAAGTTCAGTATTTTTATTTTGAATCAAATAAGCTTTTTTGACAAATGATTGACTAATTACCATTAGTAAAAATGTTACTTGTCATTTTATATCTACATGGTATTGACAGACATTGATGTGAATGGTGAAAATGTCATATAATTATGTTATTATGTTAAATTAACATATCATGTTATCATCAATTATGATATATTAATATATCACATCATAATCTATTATGATATTTTAACATGCTACATTAGCGTCACGCGATATAAAATAACAAATAATATTTTGACTAAGTCAATCATTAGTCATAAGAGTTTATTTGACTCAAAATAAAAAGTACAAGGGTTTATTTGACTTAAAATAAAAAAACAAAAGTTTAATTGAACGCAATAAACCTATAAGGCTTATTTGAATTTTCTTAAATAGTTTAGGAGTTTTTTTATATATTATGCAAAAATTAATTTTATATGTACCAAAATACTATCGAAAATCAAACTCTAATAATTTGAATCCGTTAAATACTCGATTAAATAACTCAAATAACAACCTAAATAGCTAAAAATTATTAAAAATTTAATTTTATATTTATTAGTTTACAAACAAAAAAGTTAGTTAAGATGGTAAAAGTTGTGCTAATGTCAAACGCATAAATCTCATAAATTATAAAATTTTGAAAGATTATATATAATATTAATATATATAAATATGTATAATCAGATTCAAATGGTACTCGAAATTTACCAGAATATTGTAAATTCAAAAAAAATTAGAAAATTATCTAAATTCATGCTTATTAACAAATTAGCTAATTGGTCAAGACTATATCAACTTTCACACTTGATTCTTAACATTTCAAATTCAAAGAAAAATTGGATTTTCATTTAGCAATTTAGGATGCAAAATTTGGTGCACACACACACATAAAATGATGGAGAGCATATGCAAAGCCTTTTAATATTTGACTTGCTCTTGTCACTGCATGGCTTTATAAAGCAAGTATTGAACAATTTTTACTCCCCATTTTATCCGAAGCAAATATTATATGCACTACGCGACTAGGCCACCTATTTTAACCAAAGTATTGTATGCATTGTGCTTCTTACATCATTCGAGATGTGTATTGTATACTTTTACATTCCTGAGCACATTAAATATGCTTCGACTTAAGACAAAAATTACATATTTTATGCTAATTCCCAATGCTAAGAATTTGCATTTAATGTAAACCCAAAATTTTGATTTAATGAAGAAAGACGAGGCAGATTGGATATGATTTGATGGATGACGATGAATTTATTACTTTAATGGAATGTGATAACTTTTGGTTGAATATATCTTTTACTATATTTTATATGATAGGATTAGTAATTCAGATAATAAGCAGGGTTATTTTTGTCCATAAGCATGAAGATTTCACAAAAAATATTCGTGCGGCTCTTTTTCGTACGATATTACTACTCTAACTTCGAATTAAATTAATATCCTTTTTTCTCTGCTAAAAATTTTAGGGTCCATGGTTTAAGTAAAGTGCAGGCTCCGCGGAAAAGATTTGATCAGTCAATTCAAGTTTGACGCACTTTTAACGGTGGAGATCATCCCAAATGTTTAAACTAAAGTGTTACACATTTTATACTAAAAAAACCCTTCAATTTTGGTGCAGCTCCTACAAAAAAGCAGAAATATTATTATTTTCCTTTAGGCGAAGAGGCTTTCCCTCCATTGTACTCACTCTCTTTCAGAGCCTGGGAGCCGAGCCTCTCTTCCGGCTATTTACCTTCGTATCTCCCCCATAAAAAACCCTAAAAATCTCGCTTTACGGTATGATTTCGCTGGCTTTTTTCTTTTCGGTCATCTTTGATCGTCAAGCTTTTCTGCTTTTCTTTTTCTTGTTTCTTTGTTTGCTTCCATATTTTGGATTATGCTTTTCTCTTTAGTGGCTGTTTTGGATTTTCTTTTATGTCGAATTTGAACTGCATTGTTCCCTGTTACTATGATAATTTGTTTTTTTACTGAATTTTTTAGTGTTTTATCTTTCTTTTTTCGTCTCATGACTCTATCGTTTTTTGCCTTGAATTTTATGTTTGTTTCCCTAAGCCATGTAGTGGTTTCCTGTTTTATTTTAAATTTTGTGGTTAATATGAGACTTTTTTTGAAAAAGAAATATAACTTTTGAAACTTGTCTCATGCTGGACTCTACCATCATTCGATGACTGGGTTTTTTTTTTTTTTGAGGAACGCTGAAGATCTATTAAGTGTTATTTTTCTTAATTTTCTCATATTTTAATTCTATTTTATTTTTAATCGTTAATTCCTTGGGTAGGTATTTTGTTCGACAATGCCGTTTGATTTTTGCTATTCTAAGTCATCGTCAAAGCGATTTTGACTTTTTGTGTTCCAATCTTTTTCCCCTCCTTAAGAATTTTTAATGATTGTTATTAATCCTAATGAAAAATCCCCAATAAGAGAAAATATTCAATTAAAAGAAGCTTTTAACCTTGTTTTTATTGGATAAAATAAGCTGCATTTTAGAATAAGAAATTCTCTGCTCCTTGCATTTGTCCTTTTTCACCCCTCAGTGGTCAGTGCTTGTCCTCCATTGTTGAGTCTAGAGTAACTGAATGCGAGTCTATGCTTTTGTCCTTTTTCATCCCTCAGTGGTCAGTGCTTGTCCTCCATTGTTGAGTCTAGAGCAACTAAATGCGAGTACTGCTAAGATGAGTCCCGATTTTATTTTATTTTTATTTTTGGCATTTTATTGTTTTTTTAAAGTGGAGCTATTTGATATTTGAAAAAAGGAAGTAATTTCCTGCTTAAGATTCTGTTTAGCTGATGCTTTTGCTATCTGCTTTTTGTTTTTTATATTTGCCTTTTGCTTCTTATTCTTTTTTTTTTTGGAAAAAAAAAATAAGAAGAAGCAAAAGACAAATAACAAAATTATGGACCAAAACAGACCAAAATTTGAGTTTTGCTCTCCAAGAATAGTTCTTTAAGGTGACCTTTTAGTTTTTATCTCTTTTTCCTTCCAATTTATAGTTATTAAAACTCTAAACTGGGGTTGTGGGAGTGTACATTACATACTGGATATGGTTGTCCTTTTATCTTATATCTAAATTTTTTAGTCTGCATGTTCTTTTGTTTTCTCATTTTTTGCTTTCTTGGTCTTTCATGTTTTTGTGGTTTGTTCAAAGATTTTCTATGTAAGCTGTTTTATTTTTGGATTTTACTTTTTGGTTTTAGGAGAAAAGTAGTATCATTCTAGTTGCTATTACTGGTCTATAAACTTATGTGACACCTAGTTGTTCTACCTTTCCTGTTGTTTTCCATCTTATCAGATTGTTGGTGAAATTTTACTCATCTGGGATGATATTTAATTTGGGAAAATGTTTTCTAAAATCATTTGATGTTCATTTATGTGATGCTCTTAGTGCAGAATTCTCAGATGTTTTAATATTGTCTCATTAAGTTGCTCATGCTACTCAGTAATCCAAAAAAAGAAAAAAGCTAGGGAAAAAAGGGGGGAGGGCGGGAAAGGTGAAGGCGGCGAATGTGCCTCTGCTTCTTCACCCTGCCAAACTCAGGTTGGTATCATATTTTACTGTCAGGCTATCTGCTTTGCCTTTCATAGGTGAAATATTCAAGTTTGTCTTTTTTTCTTATTCTATTAACAAGTTACCTTCCTTTACACAAGATTGCATTGCCTTGTCAATAGAAAATTGTTTGTATGATTTTATGTTGGTCATTATCTGTATCTAATCTTATATGCTGTTTCTGAAATTTTGTAATCTTTGACAACTAGTTTCTCGTATATTGTTTTTATTTATCATTTGTTGTATGATTTCTTTTTAAGATAATTTCTTCTCTTTATTTTTCCTGTGTGCTTTTCATTTGAAGGATGAATTTTATGCTGTGGATTTTTTTTTTTTTATAATTGGGGAGGGAGGATTTGAACCCTGCTCTTTAGGCAGGGGAATAATGCACTAACCAATGAGCCAAATGCTCGGGTGCAAATTGATATTTCATTAATGAATTTTATGCTGTGGATTTCTTAATTGAGAATGGATGGCTTTTATATAGAATATTGCAAGAAAGCACTAGTTCCTATTATCTATTTGAAGCCATTCATCAAATCAATGAAAATTCTTAGTTTTAATATTGTGTTCTTGTAGAGTTATGACATTTTACCATACCACAAGATGTTTTGTAGTCTAATATATTTTAGGCTCCATTTGGTTGATGATTTTGCTCTTTTGGAAAAAAATGAATAGAAAGAAAAACGTAAAAAGTAAAAAATGAATGGTGCAAAAGGAAAATAGCAAAAGCACCTAACAAACAGAGCCTTAATTTTTGCATGTTTACTATATTTGGTAATTATTGGTCTTAACTAAAATTATTAATGTAGTACTTCTGTTGTTTTTGGTTGATTTCAAGATGGAGAAAGCGGAAGGTACTGAAGAAGCAGGTAAATCCCCATCTCTGCTCCCACCACCACCAACAATGCCTCCCAATGTGAAGCCAGAGAGCATGAAGCCTCCCAAGTATTCTATTGTCAGTAGGCGTGGGGTTGGGGTGAGGGGACGACACATATCCTTGCTCACCAATCACTTCAAAGTTTCTGTCAATGCCGCAGATGCAGTATTTTACCAGTATACCGTAGGTTTATTTTGCAGTTCTGTTTTTCTGGAAGTTCACTTTTAAAGATGAATGTTTAGTAAAATCTGATTTGCAGGTTACAATTTCTTCAGAAGATAATAGAGCTGTTGAAAGCAAGGGGATTGGGAGAAAACTACTTGATAAGCTTTACCAAACATACTCCTCTGAACTTGCTGGGAAAAGGTTTGCATATGATGGTGAGAAGAGTTTGTACACAGTGGGTCCTTTGCCACAGAAGAAGTTTGACTTTACAATTGTGCTAGAGGAGTCATTTGCAAAACGGTATATTGTTTTACACTTTTCTGATTTTTGGATTCTGAATATGTTAGAATCTAGTTATTAAAATTATTTGTTGCAATCACTCACTC